GTCCGGCCGGGGGGCGCCCAGCCCCTGCGTGTATCGCGACGTGGAGGACTGGGGAGGAGAGAGCGATGAAACCAAGGCGCTGAGGCAGAATGCAGAAACTCTGCTGGGACTCAGACAACAGGTACTGTCGGCCGATTTGCAGCAGCTTCATTATTGAGTACATTCAACGTGTTTTTGTCAGTGGCTAAATCGGTCAGGGTTTATTACACACACAGCCGTTATTCATTAATCGCAAATGTTTCTCATTTGGCAAATATGCTCTTATGGTGGAGATATCGGCAAAATAAAATTCCAATAACCCTTTAAATCTCATTTGCTGCCATTGACGGCTGTAGAAGTCAACAGTGCATTATTTGAACTGGGTTGGCCCTAATTTCCAATCATGTGACGAGATCAAGATAACGCTTTAAACATAAATTCACTCCATAATACATGCACAATATATTTCAACACGAAAATATAATCAAACAGAATGGAATACTTGGAATGCATTTTTTTTAGGTTGTATAGAATAATGTCGCATGGGTGCGAGGTGGACTAACGAAAAAAAATTGACCAAAAAGTTACCAGAAAGGCTGCTGGAGTCAAAACACGTCATGTTTGTTTGCCTTTGTGTCAGGTTGACAGGCTGAAGGCCGAGCTCATGTACGAGAGGAGGACAAGTGAGGAGCAGCTGTCTCGATTTGAAGATGAACGCAGGGTGTGGCAGGAGGAAAAGGAAAAGGTAAAAATTCCTTCAAGTCAGTCTTGACACATTTCCATCATCAATCCACCCGTTTTTAACCAGCTTCGCGGGCGGCCATTTTGTCCACTACTGCTAGCTGTTGTCGATTGAAATTGACAAAATGGCAACTTTATGCTTTGTTCTTATGCCACAATTGCAATGTGAATCAGAATATCGCATTTAAACTAATTTCTGACTGGACTTGCACTTTAAATAGAAGGACACCTACAAACAAAGTTATTTGTACTTTATTTGCTTGCGTCATTTCCCTTCTTCCCCGGACCGGACGATCAGGTGATCCGCTACCAGAAGCAGCTGCAGCAGAACTACATCCAGATGTACCGGCGGAACCGCGACCTGGAGCGGGTGATGCGGGAGCTGAGTCTGGAGCTGGAGACCAGGGACATGGACGACTATGAGGTGCACAGCGGCAGCAACGACATCCACTTTGAGGAGATCACCGCCACTGAGATATAAAGAGGCCATGCGAACCCGACGTCGGACCAGGAAAAAAAAAAAAAAAAGACGACGGCTGGCTTTACCTCTTGAGCAACTCCCAAAGGTGCATTCTTCTTCGACTGCTGCACTCCTCGTGATCTTTCGTACAGCATTTCACCTGCACTTTTTTCTTTTTAAGACTTTTGTTTAACCACTACAAAGTGAGCACAAAAAAAAAAAAAACATTTTCTTATGAAGCGGCGAGAAGTGTTCAAATCAGGGAGGATTGTTGGAAACAGCAAAAAAAATTGTTGGCCACGTGCACATTTTCTTACGCTTAACAACGGGGCACAAGCACGCATGTCATGTCATGTGATGATAGCGCCCACCACGTCTGCTACTTAACATGTGTTATCTTCTTCAAAGGAGATATTAGCCTGAGCATGCTAACGTTGATTCTTTTCGTCTGGTAGTATCACTCCAAACCTTGGGAGGGCGATAGTGAGACAAATGATTCACCAATGTTGCTTTATTTGGAGTCGGCTCAGTTTGGCGCGGTTGCTTTTCCGCTTAGGGCGAAAAAAATTGGAGGCTGTGGAGTATAACAGCAGCAGGAGGTTAAGCTAACCTTTACGTGATTTTCATTTCTGCGTATCCTTGAATGTTACACTGCTCAATCAGCAAATGGCTCACAATGCTTGGAACCAGCATAGACCGGGAAGTACAAGTATAATAAATGCTACATATTTAGCATATAATGACAAACACCATAGACAAGCTCATAGAAATTAGCACATATGCTACATAATCATAAACGTTCAAAGAACTGCTACCAGAACGCACTCGGAGCGGCAACGCATACAAACAAAGCATACAACAACAAAGAATTAGATATTGTGTATTTAAAACACCAAAGTGTTCAACCGCACCATTTGATTTCACCTCATGAAAGTCCACTAGCTTAATGCTATATATAATGTGAAAGGTCATAGAAGGGCTAATGGAAATGAGCAAAGCAATACAATAATTGTAAACCTTCAAAGAACTGCTGCATGTAATCACACGGAGCAGTCAGTTAGTGCAAGTCTGCCTCTTCTTCTTGCTCTGAATTATGTTCCATCTCTTTCTTTAGACTCAGTGCTGCCAGGAATGTTGTGGCACAATTTGGTACTACGCTCACTTTTAAATTTGGACTTTAGAGTGCATTTAAAAAGATGTTTTAACAAAGACAAAAATGTTTTCTAGATCTTTTTTTTAATAAGGGACATAAGTAAATATTTAGTTGGTTGGTTAATTTGACACCTGATTGGTGGACAGGCACTCCAGAGACAAAACAATTTGTATACAAACATTGAGATGATCAAAACAAGGGCAGCAGTGGGAGGTGTCAGCAGGATGTGGCTGATTCTTGCTTTTCATCTGCTTCCTCCTCCTCTAAAAAGTATTTTTAGCAGCGTTAAGAAACTAAAAACGGAGTTTATTAGTCTCACTGCTGCTTCTTTTTCAGGCTGCCGTTTGAACTTGAGGTGGGCCGCGATGCGCGTTTTCCCTTTTGGGCTTTATTTAGCTTGCAGCAGCCCAAAGTCGCAATCATTTGAACTCAAGTCTTCCAAAACTTTTGTGAGCTGAAGCCAATCACAAAGCACATTGCAGACAAACAACAATTCCTTCAGTTCGAACTGTGAGGCAGACGTGCGACGACACACGTGCACGCGATTTTCCCCAACCGCTAAAAAATTGGAACCACGTTTTCAGTACACATTTGAACGGCATAAGTTTAATGGCTGCAAAGGGTCAGCTTTAATTCTGATTATTTTTATGACTCAGCATGAGAGAGAGTTTCAATTTTCTAGACTAAAATATATATCGAAAAGGAGATCTATATCGTGAGGGCTGTATATTTTTTATATACATATATGAATAAAGCACCTACTAATATTTTTTGGGTTCTTGTTGTTGCACCAGTATCAGGGTGGGTTTCATATGCCAATTGTATCTATATGAATGTCTAGAAATATATCAACAAAAACGGAACACCAGAGGAACTGTCAAGAGAGAAAGCCCACAAAATGTAACCTGCAAATGATTATTATCATAAAGATTTGGTTCATATTTTTTCATAAAGATATCTAGTTTAGCCCTGGGAAGTGTTTCCCGACTGTTACTTGTGTTTATGAGTGTAAATATGTAAAAGAGTTGATGGTATAACACATGATCTCGGATATTTCACATGTAGCTAACGTGACTATAGACCAAAGGAACCAAACTCAATTTTGGTTTGTTTGTTTGTTTTTTGTTGTGGCTTCTTTTTTTTTTATTATCCTTTTCTACGTTAGCCTGTTACGTCACACTTGATTCATAAAGTAGACATCGTTCGTGTAAATGTGTACATTTCTTGTATAAATGACCGTTTTGGTTTTTTTTTTTTTCAGTAAAGAGCAAGCTGTTACACCTTCAACCTGTTTCATTTTTTGTTTGTCTGGTGAATGTGTATGAACAATTTCATGTACTTTATTTCCTCACAGAGTGGCCCAGTAAAAAAAGTTGTCGTCCAAATATTTTTTGGTTAGGGGCAAATAGTGAAAAAAAACCTACTCGCGTATTGAATAACTGGTAACTTCATTTTTTTTTTCACATACTTTAGTGTAGAACATGAGGATGACAACCCCAAGTGGATCAAAATAATACACCAAATTCAAATGCATATATTGTATTGGTATTGTTGTGCAATAATGCCAAACTAATTTCTGTCTGATTTCGCAAATAATTGATGGGCCACTCAGTTGAAAAATCGATTCTAAAAGTATTTGCTAGCCAAGCAGAGTTCCTTCTAAACAAAACAAAAAAAAAAAATCCAGTAAACATAAAAAATTAATCATGGATAATTATACTTATTAATAAGGCACTACAGTATTTAATAACATTATTCTCCCCAGTGTTGCTTTCTGACTTCAAACTGTCATGGTCTGCCTGTTTTGTCCCCCCCCCCCTCCCCACTCCAAATCCTCTTCTGCCTCATGTGTAATTAAAGCTCCAAAGTGGCAGATTGCTCCATAGCAGGCAGCGCTTGTGCCAGACAAAAAAAATCCGGTGCTGAAATGCCGAGCAGCCATTTTGCAATCATCCCCAAACCTTTTTGACATCATACATCAAACTTTAATCTGGCTATAAATCTCCAGGGAGCAGCCTGGGATTATCCCCTGTCGCCGCATGTTAACCTCATGAATGACAAAGTCACTTTTTGTGGTATTTCATTTAAAAAAAAACCCAAATGGACAATCACTGTCCAAGGAGTGTTTCTTGGTAAACGAGGCCTATTGTTAGCGATTGGCGACGACGGCGTGCTTGGTGAGTGACGTCCTGGACACTCTCGTCGTCCACGCGCAGCCCTTCGTAGCCAGCCTGTGAATACAGAAACGTACACTAGTTGATGGCGCACTCTCACAATGTTGTTTTTTATAAACAACAAAACACCTACTGTTTGCCTCAGCAAAGTCCACTTAGCTCAATGCTAACAAAACGTCATTGACTGGCGAGCGAATAGAAACGACATTGTGGTGTTACAAGCCGTTGGGCAAGGGCTTTTGAACATAAACGGTGGAGCAACACATGATGTAGACAGACAATATAAAAATACTGGCAGATATTCTTTATCCCCTCCAAAAAGGATGAATATCAAAGCAGTTTAAGGATTTGTGACCATCTCCATGTTTCTAAGTATTATATATTATAATTTTTATAAAGGACTTGTTATACATTGGTATATTATTAAAAAATAATTAAACAACAAATTAAAGTCATATCTGAAGTCACTACTGTACAGTTGACCTAATGGTATCAATAAAGAATGACAATTATTGTGTCTTGAATAAGGTTTTACTTAAATCACATGTACCATATACCAAATTGTTATTTTATTCAAATATTTTATCTCCCATTTATTGTAATTTAATATGCAAAAAATTGAATCAATAGAAAATAGTCTGGTTCAGTGTTTTTCTAGTGGCACACAGGCTCCCTCTAGTGGTATGTGAAGCAATTACTCAAAAAATTCTAAAGTTCAAACTGTCTCAGGTGTTTTTGTTCTTGATCGAGCACATTTTTTAAATGCATTACGGGTGTAACTTTTAAGTGCAATTATTTTGCATTTGATCATTTTTGAACTTTTGGTTTTTGAGCATTTATTTAGGTCGTTCTTAAAAGCACCTTTATTTCCAATCCTGATTTCTAGCGGACACAACTCCCTTCGCTTCAACAGACAGAAGATTCACACACGCGGTTTCCTACTGAATATGAAGTTTCTCATGTTGACAGCGACTTCCTCTGATGTCATTTTTTTTCCTTTGTTTTTTTTTTTAAGGATGAGGATGCACCTGTGTGGTGAAGGTTAAACGCACACGACCGTTGTTGTATATCCAGCAAATGGCTCTGCTTCCCTTCATTTGAGAGAACACATTTCGGTGGGCTGAAGCATTTCATTTTAGTTTAGCTTATTCTCTCTCGTTTTTTTTTTTATGTCGCAGGCCTCCGTGGCGGCGGCATCAAAAGATTTAGAACCATTCATGCAAAGAGGGGATTAAAAAGTGCATTAAAAAAAAACTAATTTATTTGAATTAAATAGATGACAACCTAATCTGACCCTCCCCCCCCCCTTCCTCTTTTTGCTCATTTAGTGAAGTCAGCCTGATTGGGGGTGGGGGTTGTCCAATAGGAGTGGTAGTTGCACTAGTCGTGGTAGTAGCAATAATTGTTTCCTGCCAGGACCTTGACGGCACTGCTCATGGTGATGCTGCCCAGACGGACAACGTTCACCTCTACAAGTGTGTCCCCAACAGCCAGGCCAGCCTGAGCTGGGTTGGGAAGCAGGTAGGTGGGTCAGTATTGAGAGTCAGGGAGGGGGAAAAAAACCGAAGAAGGTTAGTCAGTCGGTAGGCAGACAGCAGGACAGGACAAAATATAAGTAGGTAGGTAGGTAAGCAGTAAAGTGGAGAGATCGACGGTTGTAAGGTCGCAAGAAAGAAAGGAAGGTAAGGTAGGAAGAAAGGAAGGTGAAGAGATAGGCAGACGGCAAGATATGAGGGACAGAAAGTAAGTAAGGTCAAAAGAAAGGAAGTTTGGTAAGGTAAGAAGAAAAGTAAGTAGGTTGGCGAGCAAGTACACAAAATGCAAGGTAGGAAGGTAAGTACAGTAAAAAGGAAGGAAGTGCAAATAAATGACATTATTTCCTGCTGACCTGTGGTCGTCCACCTTATTAACAATGCGTCGTGACAGTAAGATGTGAAACAGTACCATCTAGTGGCCAAAAGACGCATTTCCTATTAGTGCGGACGGCTTGATCATCAGGGATCTCAATGAGAAAAAGTGATCATCAAAATACCACCAGTTCATAGAAAATATGAACTGCAAAATATTACGATATAGCCGAATAATAAAGGGTAGATAGCAACGTTTTCTTTCCGTTTTTATGGAAAAATGTCAAAAACTCAAACCATTGGGAGGGGGCGTTTTTTTCTGACCAATGAAATATCGAGTTGCTCAGCCACGTGTCCCTGCTGTGAATGGCCCCCGGTTAACCAACCACGCCCTGAATACGTCTTCGACCGTGCTGCATTAAAATACATCCAAACTTTACATAATCTGCTCCTCCAATGGTTAAATTCGCAATTCGAGAATTTAGGGCTGGGTTTATTTTAAGCGTATAACTAATTTTCTTCTGCCGCTGCTCTATTTTTGTCCGTATTTCACGGTTGATGAAACGTCAACTTGGAGTATAAGCCAAATTCCCTACACTACTAAGGTCACTCGAACTTCACACATCTCTTCCAACCGGGCGCGGTGATACAGAGAGGTCATTCGTCTTCAAATTGAATCTGAACTGGTAATGCTTGGATGAAATGCACATACTTGGCTGTTTATATATTCTTGATTCATATCATCACAGGACGACCGCGTGGTTTCAATCTCACCGCGTTGCTTTTCCTCACGACTCATACTGGAGCTAGGCTGTCCGCTAGCGTAGCCGCCTAGCAGGCTGAATGACTCGTTCACCGTGAGGGCGCCGACATGGTGGAATTTGCCAAAGAAACTGTTTTATTATTTTGCCATCATAATGTCTCATTCGATGGGTCATCAGTTTAGTTAGTCCCAGAAACTGCATTAGAAAACATGTCATATTTTTAAATGAAAAAGCCCGAATGATCACCAGTGGGCTGCACTGAGTTGGCTCAGCTTCATTGACAGCTTCAGTCACGTGCCTGACGTCACCACACGTTAGAGACCGAACTATTTGTATTCAAACATTAAAAGTTGAACCCCCTAGTAACCGACGCCCCCCTAAAAAGGTTTGTACTGTTCTGTACAGTGTAAATAAACTAAAAATGCCTGGCAAAGGACTAATTTTGTCTAAACGGAGCTCTTCACTCCAACAGTCAATCTGGAACAGTCAACCAGCATCACTGAAGAGGCTGCATGTGACTTTGGAGGTGTCCACTTTTTTCCTAATGACAGATAAACAAATAGTTTCTATTTTTTTTTTCTAACGCAAGGGGAACGCAAGATGTCTGGAGATCTGCCTCTCAACATCAATATTAAAGAGCCCCGATGGGACCAAGGGACGTTCATGGGGCGCGCCAAGCACTTCTTTATGATCACAGACCCCAGGAATGTCTTGCTGTCCTCCAGGACGTTGGAGGAGGCTCGGGTTATTGTGGAGAACTACAGGTAGAAGGCTCACCTTGCTTCGCGAGCAGGATAACGGATTAAGGAAGAAGCCATTATAATAATTTTAAAAATAATTTTTGAACAAAAAAAAAAAAAAATCTGTGTATGCTGAGAAATTTTGGATTATTACTGCTGGTAATACAAAACATGCCTGAAATGAATGACATTGTATTTGCTGTAATGACTAACGTGGATCCGATCTAGATGTAATTGATCACTCGGCAAACTGACATTATAACCAATCACTAATTTTTGATAAAAATGAGAAATACCTCCCAAGCCAACCCAGTTAAGCAGACCTGTATTAAGTTGTTTTTTTTTTAAATTAGTTTAACTTAAAAAATGTATTACAACTAAATGACTTGGAAATATAAGAAAAACAGCCCTGGAAAAGAAAAATCCAAGTGGATGTTTCTCTCCAGAGCCGGGGTGGTGGCGCCCGGCCTGACGGAGGACCAACTGTGGCGGCCCAAGTACGTGTACGACTCGGCCTTCCACCCCGACACGGGCGAGAAGATGTTCGTGATCGGCCGCATGTCCGCTCAGGTGCCCATGAACATGTCCATCACTGGCTGCATGCTCACCTTCTACAGGTACCGCCCCTCGCGATCGAGCGTCACTCTCTCTCTCTACGCCGTACGTGTTCGTGCTCAATGACTGTACAATTTCATTTCAATAACTGCACTTAAGAGCATCGCGGGGACCGAAGCGGAGCTTTAATCCCAGTTGAGAGTGAAAATCCTCTTAAATCCTCCTCCCAAATAAAAGTCATGTCTGAACTTGGGCGGAGGCAACACGTCGGGAGTCATCACGTTGACCTAGTTGGAAAGTGTCAAGTGCTTGATTAGTGACAGAATTCAAAAGAGAATGAACATTGGTGCTCACACAAAGACTTGGCGCGCATTGTAGAATAATTTGTGACATATTTACAGGACCACACCAGCGGTGGTTTTCTGGCAGTGGGTTAACCAGTCTTTCAACGCAGTGGTCAACTACACCAACCGCAGTGGAGACGCTCCCATCACTGTCAAGTATGGAACACCTCTCACTTAGCCCTTGATCGGGGATGGGCAAATAGCAAGAGGCCTCATATTAATATTTATGGAATACTATTTTTGGCAAATATTCAAATGTGATGTCCGTTGCATACATGTAGCATTTCCCCCCCACCCACTCTCAAAGTCAGTTAGTATTCATTTTTCATTCAATAATTTGATTCATTTATCGTACGTTTAAATGTTTTCTTCAATAATTGGTTTATAAATTATATTTTCATATACAGTGTTTAGAAATTAAGTTATTTTATCAGTACAACAATTTTGTTTCATTATTTTGCCTTTTGTCCTAACCTTTAATTGAAATTTATCTTTCGTAAATAAAATGCATAAATTTAGTGAAATGAGCACGTTTACCTCTACAATTAACATGTTTTTTTCCTCAATTTTTTTTTATAAATTCTAATTAAACAATACAATTTAAAATTGACCAATTATTTTATTACAATAATTTTGTTTCATGATTTAGCAATTTTCTCCCAAAATGTATTTGTTAAAATAAATTTGTGTAAATGACTGAATTTTATTTTTATAACTAAAAACATTTTTTTTTAAATTTTATGAATAAGTAAAAAAAGTAACTCATACAATTAAACTCTACGTTAAAAGGATGTATTATCCTATTATTGAAATAAACATTTTTTTTTCCCATCTCCTTTTAAATCACCTATCAAATGACATTTTCCTGCCTGACTTTACCAAAAAAAAAAAAAAACAAAAACAGACTTATGTGTACTTTCAGCCAACTCGGTGCGGCCTACGTGAGTGCCACGACCGGTGCAGTTGTCACCGCCCCCAGTGGGCTGCACTGAGTTGGCTCAGCTTCATTGACAGCTTCAGTCACGTGCCTGACGTCACCACACGTTAGAGACCGAACTATTTGTATTCAAACATTAAAAGTTGAACCCCCTAGTAACCGACGCCCCCCTAAAAAGGTTTGTACTGTTCTGTACAGTGTAAATAAACTAAAAATGCCTGGCAAAGGACTAATTTTGTCTAAACGGAGCTCTTCACTCCAACAGTCAATCTGGAACAGTCAACCAGCATCACTGAAGAGGCTGCATGTGACTTTGGAGGTGTCCACTTTTTTCCTAATGACAGATAAACAAATAGTTTCTATTTTTTTTTTCTAACGCAAGGGGAACGCAAGATGTCTGGAGATCTGCCTCTCAACATCAATATTAAAGAGCCCCGATGGGACCAAGGGACGTTCATGGGGCGCGCCAAGCACTTCTTTATGATCACAGACCCCAGGAATGTCTTGCTGTCCTCCAGGACGTTGGAGGAGGCTCGGGTTATTGTGGAGAACTACAGGTAGAAGGCTCACCTTGCTTCGCGAGCAGGATAACGGATTAAGGAAGAAGCCATTATAATAATTTTAAAAATAATTTTTGAACAAAAAAAAAAAAAAAAATCTGTGTATGCTAAGAAATTTTGGATTATTACTGCTGGTAATACAAAACATGCCTGAAATGAATGACATTGTATTTGCTGTAATGACTAACGTGGATCCGATCTAGATGTAATTGATCACTCGGCAAACTGACATTATAACCAATCACTAATTTTTGATAAAAATGAGAAATACCTCCCAAGCCAACCCAGTTAAGCAGACCTGTATTAAGTTGTTTTTTTTTTAAATTAGTTTAACTTAAAAAATGTATTACAACTAAATGACTTGGAAATATAAGAAAAACAGCCCTGGAAAAGAAAAATCCAAGTGGATGTTTCTCTCCAGAGCCGGGGTGGTGGCGCCCGGCCTGACGGAGGACCAACTGTGGCGGGCCAAGTACGTGTACGACTCGGCCTTCCACCCCGACACGGGCGAGAAGATGTTCGTGATCGGCCGCATGTCCGCTCAGGTGCCCATGAACATGTCCATCACTGGCTGCATGCTCACCTTCTACACGACACGGGCGAGAAGATGTTCGTTATCGGCCGCATGTCCGCTCAGGTGCCCATGAACATGTCCATCACTGGCTGCATGCTCACCTTCTACAGGTACCGCCCCTCGCGATCGAGCGTCACTCTCTCTCTCTACGCCGTACGTGTTCGTGCTCAATGACTGTACAATTTCATTTCAATAACTGCACTTAAGAGCATCGCGGGGACCGAAGCGGAGCTTTAATCCCAGTTGAGAGTGAAAATCCTCTTAAAGCCTCTTCCCAAATAAAAGTCATGTCTGAACTTGGGCGGAGGCAACACATCGGTCGTCATCATGTTGACCTAGTTGGAAAGTGTCAAGTGCTTGATCAGTGACAGAATTCAAAAGAGAATGAACATTGGTGCTCACACAAAGACTTGGCGCGCATTGTAGAATAATTTGTGACATATTTACAGGACCACACCAGCGGTGGTTTTCTGGCAGTGGGTTAACCAGTCTTTCAACGCAGTGGTCAACTACACCAACCGCAGTGGAGACGCTCCCATCACTGTCAAGTATGGAACACCTCTCACTTAGCCCTTGATCGGGGCTGGGCACATAGCAAGAGGCCTCATATTAATATTTATGGAATACTAGTTTTGGCAAATATTCAAATGTGATGTCCGTTGCATACATGTAGCATTTCCCCCCCACCCACTCTCAAAGTCAGTTAGTATTCATTTTTCATTCAATAATTTGATTCATTTATCGTACGTTTAAATGTTTTCTTCAATAATTGGTTTATAAATTATATTTTCATATACAGTGTTTAGAAATTAAGTTATTTTATCAGTACAACAATTTTGTTTCATGATTTTGCCTTTTGTCCTAACCTTTAATTGAAATTTATCTTTCGTTAATAAAATGCAAAACTTGAGTGAAATGAACAAGTTTATTTATAGAATTAACATGTTTTTTTCTTCAATTTTTTTTTTTATAAATTCTAATTAAACAATACAATTTAAAATTGACCAATTATTTTATTACAATAATTTTGTTTCATGATTTAGCAATTTTCTCCCAAAATGTATTAGTTAAAATAAATTTGTGTAAATGACTGAAATTTGTTTTTATAACTAAAAACATTTCACATTTTTTTTAAAATTTTATGAATAAGTTAAAAAAGTAACTCATACAATTAAACTCTACATTAAGAGGATGTATTCTATTATTGAAATAAACATTTTTTTTTCCATCTCTTCTTGTCCTTTTAAATCACCTATCAAATGAAATTTTCCTGACTGACGTTACAAAAAAAAAAAAAAACAACGAG